AGTTATTTTTTTTACAAAACGGTTCATATCTTTTCTATTTAAAAATGTTTCTATTTTATTAAAAAATTAGTATTAAATTCTTTATTTCGCAAATATTATAATAAATGATTATGAAGTACATAGAATATATAATAATTGTATTGTCTGAAACATTAAAAAAAAAAAAAGAATTACCAGATACATCAGAGAAAAAGAATTAGAGAATACTGTGGAATAAATGAGAAGCAGCTGACAAATTCCATTCAAAAGCAAGTAAATTACTGTTATATTTTTATTTTGCTTCTTTATAAAATATATTTGATACCTAAAGATAAAATATGTCTATTAAATTTGATTTTTATATGTTTCTATGAAAAATATCTAAAGAGATGTACTGACCCATGCATATATGAAAATTATATTATAAATTATGATATTTGCGTATTTAAGAAAAAAGCGTATTTAATTTTTCAATAAAATAAAAACATTTGTAAGATATTGAACGCCCAACGTGAATCGGTGGAGCTTACCACGGGGCTGAAATTTGAGACTCGTAGTGTACACAGTTCGATAAGCTGAGAGAGCGATACGATTCAATGTATTTTTTAGATTTTTCTTTGTTCAGATCTTTATTTAGACGAGAGTATTTAGAAACATAAGTTTGTGGTCCAAAGAATAAGGACGAGATATGTTATAAATAATAAGGGTCTCGAAGTGTGGTAGGCTACAGAGTTGAAAAAACATTTGTAGAGAATATCTTTATCAGATCTCTCATTGCATTTTACCAGAACCTTCGTTCAGTCCAGTAGTATTTTCCATATGTTTTTCGTAACGTCTTTATTTTGTCCTCCTATAATGTTTGTTAGACAGCGCAGAAATGTAAATAAAAGTGATAAATCGAAAACCATCCTAACAAATAAAATTTTATACCTGAGTTTCACAAAAGGAATATTTTATATTTACTTAGTTTACGATGAATTATATTTCACTCGATAAACATCCTACAATTTTGGTGTCTATCTATGACTATCGCAGTCAGCATTCCTCTTTTATTGCTGGAATTTGGAAAAGTGTAGTTTTTACCAGCTATTCCACCCAGAGACCATACCGGTGATCTTTATTATATGTGGTAATAATATTATAATAAATAAATCCTACAAATATCTTACTCTTGAAACTGTGCATTCGTCTCATTCTCTCGAAACTTACATTTTTGAAAGTTTCACTTCTAACACGTGTGATCTGCACACATGATTTTTTTTTTACTTTTCAGATCACTCCTATTCTAAAGAAGTTTTCACTTCAGAAAACAACATTTTTTATAGAATTTAAATTCAATTATTTTTTTAGTATTTTTTTTTGTTAAAGTACACTTAAAAAGAAAAAATTAAAAGGAATAACGTTCCGATAGGTCTATTTTTGACAAAGTTATGGCTATTTGAACAAAAAATTGAACAAAAATTATGAATTTTTCAAAAATTTATAACTTCTTTTGGTTTGAGTAAAAAATTTGGGAAAATTTTCAAAAAGGTTTTTAATGAAGTTGAAAATAATAAAAAAGTTTCAGCAAAATCGAAAGGGGTCGGGGTCAAAAATGTTCGATTTAACATGGAATGCCCTACAATTATTATGAAAGTGGCCCATCTCCATTTTCCAAAAAATTCGAGTTAACTACCGTAATAGTTACATTTTTACGTGATCTTTTCATTCTGAAGCAATTTATTACAAATATATTTAAAATCATGAAGATATTGTAACACGAAAATTTGCCGATCAACAGAATGATGAAAAGTTTATTTTGAAAGTGGCTTATCTCTATTCGTCATTTATTATTTTCCGGTGTTGTACCTGGTTATTGTACAACTTTATGTTATGTATCAATAAAGCACTTGATTTTACATATATTCCGAGTAAATATGACAATACTTTATTGTAAATAAAATGAGATCAAAAGATTTTGCAGTAACAAAATTATTAGAAGACACAATTTTTAAAAGGGTGAAGAATTCTGATGAAGAATCAATAAACTGCTTTAAAATATGTTTGATGCGTTTTTTTTAGATATAAATCGTATAAAATTTTCTATAAGATATCAATGAATGAGAATGAAAATTTGAAAGTCCTGAATTTATTAGCACGTCGACCAAAAAAGGTAGACCAAAAAAGTTCGAAAATATTGTATTAACACCACTATATAAAATATCAGACAAATTACAACAGCAAAATTCAAGGACATATATGATCTATTACGATATATATCACCGGAAAATCATGATTTCTTCAAACCCCTTTCACACATACAAAATGTAGATGACAAGTCAATTGTTGTGTAGGTTAGTTTGTAATTTCGTACATTATGTAGTTAAAAAATGTTTTCAATCGCATAAATTATGTTTCTGAAGTGTTTTAAAGATATGTAAAATAAATTCAGTATTGGTTTTATTTAATTTGAAGCATCTTAAATTATGTTGAATAGAGTTAAGTTCCTTCGAAATTTATAACAAATCAAATTGTTGATTTTGACAATGACCTAACTCCATTCGTGGTTAGAAAACGCACATTATTCGCTTAATAATTGCAACTATTTTAATAGAAAATATAAATTTAAAGCCTTTAGATACACTTAAGCAGTATAACTCGTTAGTATCTTGTACGTATATTTTTCATTGCATTGAAACGCAAACCCTTCAATATCTCGATTCAAACATAAATGGAGATGGGCCACTTTCAAAATAAGCGGCCCATTATTATAGATATTATGTATGTAAAGATGAAAATTTCATTAGAGGAATTATTATTTTTGTAAGTAATATTATTATCTTTATATAGGTGTATTTTGTTTTAATTTATAGCTATAACATTTTTCTTTCTTTGTATTATTTTTACAAGTTATACTTGAGATATACTTAATATTCTTAATTAAATTAAACTGACTATACTATTGTATATATTTCATAAAATGACTCCATATTATTATCAGCTGTCATTTCTAAAAAAATATTATGAATGAAAATATTATGAAACATGTTTTGGCCTAATAAAAATGATTATTTTTACAACAACGTATTTAAGGATTATCACAAATTCTTAATCTAAAGATGCTAGACATATAAGAAAAATATAAAATATATATTTTAATAATATAATATGTGTGTGTGTATGCAAATACAATTAAGCTATGCTCTTTTTATATAAGTTTAAACAAAATATTATTTACTCTAATAAACGAAAGATAATAAATGTAATTTTTTCCCCGAGTATTTTACACTCACACATATTATAAATGAAATTAAAAGTCTATAATTTCAGTCATTTTGAAAAATAAATGATATTAATATATCCAATTTTATAATAAAATAATATATCCCTCTTTCTCTCTCACTCTCTTTCTGTAATAACAATATCACCAAATATTCTATCAAAGGATTAAATTAAATAATAAGTGAAATAATATTTCCTAACTTTAAGAAAAATAAGATAATAAAAAATGTATAAATTTTTGTTTAAAATACGTGTAAATGAAGTTTCTTCAAAATATGTACAAGTAGACTTTTTTGTTTAAAAATATAATATGCATGATTTTATTTGTAATGATTTTATTATATATAAGAAAATAAAACACATGCGTGCGCACACCAAAGATTGAATTATTACGTATGATTATTGATGAAAAAAAATTTTTTTTGATTAAATGAAAAACCAGCATATAATTATTTGTTTATAAAATTCTATTAGAGAGTGCATTGTATGTATTCGTACTTAGGACAGGAGAAATATTGGTGTATAGTTTTAAAATGTTTTCAAGCCTTGATTAAGTGACAAAATCAGACTAATTGAGACTAATTTATCGAACGCCTTATATAGCAGTCTGATTAAAAATACTTATCAGATATTAGATGATTAAATTGAAACTACATTATACAGGCACTTCTCCAAAGCTTTTGTGACCTGTTTCACTGGCATGTTGTCGTGCTGCGACTGGTCCATTTAATTTAATATTGCAAACATAGCACATTAATTTAAATTTTTGAATGTCTGTATATTGGCGACTAGACTTCACTTCTCTTGCAAGCTCTGCAGCTTCTAACAACATTCTATCATCTTCTGTTGAAAAAATGGTTTGAATAGAACCACCCTAGAAAAAATGAAATGTTTTTAATAAATAAGCTTTTAATAAATCTGCCTTAACATATAACTCAATAAATGTAATAGAGTAAGTATTATTTTAATAGAATTTATTTATTATCTACAACTCACATCAAGTGGTTCCAAGTAAAGTGGATCATAATGTATTCCATCAAATATAAGAAATACTCTTTGAGCATAATGTTGATCTTCTCCAAACCTGTTTATAATAGCATTGATACTATCGATTACAGCTATCTCCAATCCATAAAACTTCGACAGTATAGATAATTCTATTGCTCCTCCCCACGAATCTGGCTTTAAAATCCACTTGCAATATTCTGCATTAGGTCTACCCAAAAAAGCTTCAGAATATTCCTCTATATCTGAGGCGACTGTATTTGCGATGATTTCTCTCATAAAACTTGAACAACTACTATCAACTTTTCCTATATAATGAAATATATATATCTAATTTATATAAACTTTAAACGTGTTCTACTATAATATTATAATAATATTATATAATAATTTAATAATGTATTTTAAGAGTATAACATACCATTAAGAACATAACCAACACTAGTGAATAAACATGAATTATCTGCCGGTACAACCATTTTCATGAGGACGCCAGGTGTATTAAGAAAAGTTTCATCGTTAACAATGTGAGATCTACCAATTTCAGTTTCTATTTGAGCGCCATTAATAACTTGTTTTTCTTCAACAATCAGGGTATCGCCAGAAACTATACCACTATCCATAATAGTAGCTGATCCATTATCAAGATTGATCGCTTTAGGTGGAAAACCACCAAGAACATGAAGAGAATCGACAGAAATACCTGTCACATCGGCTAGCTTCGATTTCAATGCAGCTACTTTATCTTGTGGGACAAGCCCATTTACAACTTTCTGTCCTGACTTTGTTTTAACCTTTAACACAAATCCAGCCATGCTTTCAAGCGATTATTATGATTTAAACGAAAAAACAGGAGAGAGAACAAAAATTAAACTTATTGTGACTTTTCTTTCAATCAGCTGTCCCAACTTCCTTTCAAGGAATCAATCATATCATATATGTAGAGTCATACCAATATCATACACTGACTTTGACTTATTATTTATTAGTCATACTCATCATTTCTTTATTTTGATTCTTGATTTTGCTTTTTTTTTTTTGGTTATGAAATCAAAATAATACAAAGCGTCTAAAATATGAATTATTAACAAAATATAATATAGAGCCACAGTACCCGTTATATATTAACATATATATCTATCATTGATCATGTGATCTGATAATAACCCATTCACCACATGCATATTATGTAGTATACGTACATATAAGTTAAGAATAAGGTCGAATTTTAAGGGACTTTAATCGCTAAGCACGTATAGACACACAACATCGATGCTAATTTCGTTTTTTCTTTCTTTCTCTTTTCCTTTCTTCTTCTTATTTTTTCTGTTTTTTTTTCTCAATCTTATGCGACTACGTCGCCAACTGCATTAGATACGTTGAAAAATTTTCATGATGCACTTAGTAGAACATTGCACAAGGTTAATGACTGAAGAATAAATAAATCTCAATATTGCAGATAAAAATTTGATGATATTATTTTTACATCTATGCATACATCAAAAGCAATGTTTAAAATATAGTATGTTGATAATTATAATAGGTATGATGATAATTAACAGTCAAAATGTTAACTTTGTTCATAGAAATTTAAAAAAATCAACAGCAAGTTCAATTAGGATTAGAAAACAGATATCGATTTTTTAAATACGAGCTTACGTTGTACTCACACTAGGTAGTGCTGATGTAAACAAATTTTTAATCGTGTTGGAATTCTACGCAATATCATATATTATGGCTTAAACAATATTTTTGTTATAAATATAAATACATGTATATATATAGTAGTGTTTAATATATAAAAAGTTTTTTAATAGAGAATTAAAATATTCATAGAAATTAATTTCTTAATTATATAATTCTTATTGTATCCAAGTTGAGTAATAGTAGAAATTACTGAGAAACTTAACCTCAAATAATTTAAACAGTATTAACCCCTTAAGGAACAATTTTTTTTTTAAACCGGCCAAAATAAATCAATTTTGGCTCAACGTGGTGATACAACGCCGCTCAAGTTAACTCGAGTGTGCAACTTAAGGGGTTAACAGTATAATCATTCTCTATCTTTACACTAAGTATAAAAATGGCACACGATAAGAAAACAGTTAGACGTAGTAGATCTCGTGAAAGAGAACGTGAACGTGAAAGAGAAAGAGAACGCCGTGATCGACGTCGTTCCAGGAGCCGTTCGAAAGATCGAAAAAAGGATAGGAAACGTTCGAGATCTAGGGAACGTTCACGTGAACGTGATAGATCACGGGACAGAGATCGCGAACGTTCCAGAGAAAGGGATAGATCTCGTGAAAAAGATCGTGATAGATCTAGGGACAGGCGGGACGCCAAAGATAAGGGAAAAGATGATAAAAAACGTAAGGGAAGTCCAATATTTTCTGTTGAAGAAGAAGCAAAGAAAGAAGTCAAAAATGATGTTAAAAAGGAAGAAGAAGAAACCGATGAAAAATCTAAATCAGCACAGAAAAGAGAACCACTGAGTTTGGAAGAGTTGTTGGCTAAAAAAAAAGCAGAGGAAGAAGCACGTGCTAAGCCTAAATTTTTAACTAAAGAAGAACGTGTAGCTTACGCATTAGAAAAACGTCAACAGGAAGTAGAAGCTATAAAGAAGCAACAGGAGGAAGAACGAAAAGCATTTTTCTCTGGAGGTGAAATTAAAGAAAGAGATTGGGATGATAGAGAACGGTAAGTTTATTAATATTTTATGTTATATTAAAAGCTGACTTTCTTTTCTTTTTAAAAGACGTAGAGATGCTCAACGTTCACGAGAAGAAGAAATAAAAGATAAAGATAAAGAGAAAGAAGTGGAAGCTATTAAAGAACGTTATCTTGGTCTTGTAAAGAAGAAACGGCGTGTAAGAAGATTGAACGATAGAAAATTTGTGTTTGATTGGGATACATCGGAGGATACATCTGTTGATTACAACAGTATCTACAAAGAAAGACATCAGGTACAATTTTTTGGGAGGGGTAATCTCGCTGGTATTGATATTAAAGCTCAGAAACGTGATCAAAGTAAATTTTATGGTGAACTATTAGAAAAAAGACGCACAGAAGCGGAGAAAGAACAAGAAAAGTAAGTATATTCATTTAGACGATTATATTGTAGCTTTCAAAGTTATACCATAATAAAAAATTTTTTATTTTATAGAATGAGATTGAAAAAAGTGAAAAGAAAAGAAGAGAAACAAAAGTGGGATGATCGTCATTGGTCTGAGAAGGCTCTTAATGAAATGACTGAAAGAGATTGGCGTATATTTAGAGAGGATTACAACATTACCATCAAAGGAGGACGTATTCCTGATCCTATTAGATCATGGAAAGAATCTGGATTCCCGAAAGAAATTTTAGATATTATTGATAAAGTGGGATATAAGGATCTAACGCCTATTCAAAGACAAGCTATTCCCATAGGTCTCCAAAATCGTGATATTATAGGTGTTGCTGAAACTGGTTCTGGAAAAACATTGGCATTTTTAATTCCTCTTTTATTATGGATTACTAGTTTACCTAAAATTGAAAGATTAGAAGAAGCCGATCAAGGGCCTTATAGTATAATTTTGGCACCAACTCGGTACGTAAATTTAAAAAAATATTTTCTATTACATGCACACAAATATTTATTCAAAGAAAATAGAGTATTATTATTTTTAATTTCTTTGATTTTTATTAGTGAATTGGCGCAGCAAATTGAAGAAGAAACTAACAAATTTGGACAACCCTTAGGTATTAGGACTGTTGTAGTAGTGGGTGGTTTGTCTAGAGAAGAACAAGGATTTAGATTACGTATGGGATGTGAGGTAAAAAGAGATAAATTATTAAGAAAATTGAATTTTAATCTAATTGTAAATTATCTTCAAATATCTTTTTTCATTCTAGATTGTTATCGCCACTCCTGGAAGATTGATAGATGTTTTAGAAAATCGATATTTAGTTTTAAATCAATGTACATATATTGTATTGGATGAGGCTGACAGAATGATAGATATGGGTTTTGAACCAGGTAATTTATATATTAAAATATTAATTATTTACTGAAAATTGACATAAAAAATAATAATTACATTTATTTTTATAGATGTTCAGAAAATTTTGGAATATATGCCAGTAACAAATTTGAAACCAGATAACGAAGATGCTGAGAATGAAGAAAAACTTCTAGCTAATTACAATACTAAGAAAAAGTACAGACAGGTAATTGATATATAAATATATTATGATAAAATAATATTCACGTAATTGTCTCTTTTACAACATTTTTAATTTTTTGTTTTTAAATCTTTTCTAGACTGTGATGTTTACAGCTACTATGCCTCCAGCTGTGGAACGTTTGGCTAGAACTTATTTAAGACGGCCTGCTGTAGTTTACATCGGTAGCGTTGGTAAACCTACAGAACGAACTGAACAAATAGTTCACATAATGGGTGAAGCTGATAAACGCAAGAAACTTATGGAAATACTTAGCAGAGGTGTCGAGCCACCTGTTATTATATTCGTTAATCAAAAGAAAGGTGCTGATGTACTTGCTAGAGGATTGGAAAAACTTGGGGTAAAATATAATGATTTATATATTACATGCATATATATACAATTGCGTGATAAAAATATTGTATGTTTAGTATAACGCATGTACTCTTCACGGTGGTAAAGGCCAGGAACAAAGAGAATACGCTCTTGCATCTCTTAAAAGTGGAAGTAAAGATATTTTGGTTGCTACCGATGTTGCTGGACGTGGTATTGATATTAAAGATGTATCTATGGTTATTAATTACGATATGGCAAAAACTATTGAAGGTATGTTAATAAAATATCAATGGAAAGTTATAATTGACAATGTTTACATTTACTAATGTTATTTTTTTTTTTTATAGATTACACACATCGTATTGGTAGAACAGGACGTGCTGGTAAAGCAGGTCTTGCTATATCTTTCTGTACAAAAGACGACAGCCATCTATTCTATGATTTAAAACAAACAATTCTTGCAAGTCCAATATCAACGTGTCCACCAGAATTACTTAATCATCCGGATGCTCAACATAAGCCTGGCACAGTGGTTACTAAAAAACGTCGAGAAGAAAAAATATTTGCATAGATAATAATTGACACAAAACGCAACTTTTTTTTCTAATTCTTTAATTGAAATACTTACTATAAGTTAAATACATTCATAATAATTATATTGTAGATGTATAATAAGATAGGTAATATTTTACTATATATGATTTTTTTTATAGTATAAAAATGTAATTAAAAATTCATGTCACAATATAAAAACTTGTTAAAATTTGTTACCTACAAACTTTAATATATGTCTTGCTTTAATAAACAATCGACTTTCATATATACATCTTTGCTTCTCGAATTGATATCACTGTTCAATTTACAAAGATTAAAAGTAACTGGATATTGATATTAGTCTATTACGATAAAAGTATAACAGGCCAACTAGAATAATAAGCTACCTAGAACATACGAATAATGCAACGCTTCCAAAAAAATATAAACAAAGCTTCATCTCTGGTCAATTTCGTGATCGTCAAGGGCAACGCACAATCAAATTTATCATTTGTTTTCAATTGCAAAGAACACGGAATTGTTCTTCAAAATGAACTCCCCTTGGAATATTATCTATCATCAATTTCGAGTAATTTTTGCTTGACTTGCATTCCTACTTTTTTTCCTTGATCCAGAAGAAAATCTTATTGAAAAAAGGGAATAATAAATGATAATTCGTAGATGACGTTTCACGTTAACGAAACATAGATTTAGATAAAAGGAGGACAAGCTCGAAGATTTCTAAAGTAAAGAAAAAGTGTACGCCAAATTTCGAGATTAGGAAAAAATTGCTTCAGCCGTGGATCACATAAACGAAGGAAGACAAGCGGCGGTATCCAAACCCCGAAAAACTCGTCGCAAAAAAACGAGAAGTCTTACCAGAGATTCCAAGGTTTATCTACAATTTATTATCTTAATATGTGTTATAATTTTAATATCTCACTAAAATAAAACGATATTATAATAATAATAGGCAGAAGTTATGGCAAATCCCTGTGGCGAATTTCGTAAAGATATGCAGAAAGGTGTTGCTTTGGCAGCACCACAAGGAACAACCCTATTACCAGCCTGTTCCATGGCAACGATTCAAAGTCAAAGCACACCTGCAACGCCAATACGACCACGATCACTTTATACATCACACAGTTATCATGCACAAACTGAGGACACTAATTTTCAAGTATATAATAAATACATTTAATACATATTTTTATGTTTCCTATTTTTTAATTGTCCAACAATGGTATACTGTTTTCAGCGGTATAGTGAATTTTCCAAGTACTTTGAAACACCGCCAGCAGATCAGTGGAATGGTATAACAGGAGCAACCACTTATTCGAGTTCAGCAGCTATTTGGAGACAGCCAAGGACTTCAAAAACAATAGCTACTCCGTATTACACAGCTGAGGAAGCCTGTGTTTATACGGAAAATTGGAGAGAACATGAAAGCACTGATGCGAGTGTAGGAGGTGCTATTGCAACACCACATGGCACTATTTCTTTGAGACTTCGTAATAGGATTAGAGTCGATATGACAGTGGATCGTGCTGTAAGAGTGATCAATTTTAAGGTGTGTCTATTATTTTATCCTTATCTTAAATCACAATCCTCATTTTATGATCCTTCTGCTTGTATATACGTCATAATTCTATAATTATCCTTACATTAACACTGAATCATAATAATATTATAGTGTCAATGGAAAAGAGAATTCATAGAATACTTAAATATATTTTTTTTTGTCAGTGCAGAATAATATTGTGCTTTCGTTAAGCTGTTCTGGAGCTGCTGCTGCATTATTACATCCAAATGGAAGAATATATCAATATGGATCGCGCGTTGAAATTTTAGCTCACGATACCCATGGAAATAATAAGTTAGTTGTAAAACATTACAGAAAGAAAAAAAAAATACATTATAATCAAATTTGTATTTCCACCTATACTATTAGATATGCGAAGATGTGGTACAAGGGTGTCAGTTTTACTTGTGAACAATGTGCTCTTGTATATTTAGTGGATGCAGCAGGAACCAGAACTACTACTGACTCGTTTTCGGATATGAGTCAAGTATAATAGATTCACAATCTTGTTAACAAGTGAAGATTGTAATTATATCCGATTACACTTCATTTCGACACCATTTTAGGACTTTTCCTTAAGCGTTTTTTATTCTGGCTCGCGACATGGATCGTCGTGCTTTCAAGAAGCAATCACAGCACTTGGAGCTGCTCAATATTGGATGACAGATGAAGGTGTTGAAAACTGGATCATCAACAATGTCAGAATTTCCCAGACCCCAGATGGTCTTGTCAGGTATCTCTATTATATATATATCCGTTTGAGTACTGAAGTATTTCGAAAAACGCGGTCAAAAACAGCTGAGTAGCGCGATATTGCTCCGTTAATTATTAAGTGTCGAAAAAAGCCGAAAGTCACAATTGCACTCCTTTAATTAACCCTTTCGCTACGAGCGGCGACTATAATCACCCATGATGTTTCGTGAACAGAGTATATTTGTTATCGTCATGGTTACCCATTGAAATTGTTGTGCACTTTGTGCATACCTTTTAAACTGTCTATAAGAAATTACAATATTAAAAGTTATGTTATTTAATTGCATTGTGTAATAATTTTTCACTTTTTCCTTTCTACGGGCGATTACAGATGTTCAGTGAGAGTAGAGCACTGAAAAATCGGTCCATAGCGAAAGGGTTAATAGTCGGGAGTGATAAAAGCGTGCCTTCAGGTGCCTTTATCGACGAAATGCGCAGGCAGGCTTTTTTCGACAAAAAATTTGAAGAGCGCAAAAGTGGCCCGTGGTACTCCAACAGATATATATATATATATATATATATATATATATATATATATATATATATATAAATATATTAATATATTATTTATTTGTTTAATATGTATTATGTAATAATTACATAAAATAACGAAAATATATAATAATAAAGAATAAAAATAACTTACCTCGGTAATAAATTTATTATAATATTTGACAGAATTGCGCGTAACAGCAATAAGTATCAACTACGAACTTCGCCTAGCAATGGAACAGCATCCCTGACGACACCTTTTTTACATTGCACAGCATCACTGGGCCAAACATCTCATTTATTTGTACGTCGAGGAGAGCGGCGCATGCATTATGATGGAACAAGTTTCATTGTACGCAATGCAGGACACAGTGCTGGATTTGACGACAATGACCAGTTGAAAGTTTACTGAAAAGTTCAAATATCTATTAGATGTTGCTATAAGATTATATTTTTTAATTAAAAGTATGTGTATATGTGCATAAGAGCAAGTATAAGAGGCATAGTCAATAATTGAATATGTTTATCGTTCAAAGTAGTTTTCAACAAATGACAATATCGAAAGAGATTTTATAATAAAAAATCAATGCACTTCTTTTATATACGCAAACTATGTATACATCTTATACATGTGTATGTATATTTGTGTATACAATTATAATAATGCTATAAAAAAAGATCAAACCAAAAAGACCAAAAGTTATCGATTTTTATAAGTTTAGAAATTTAAATGAATTGTATTTCCAATATATGTTTAGGAATTTAATTTAATTGCTTTAATGTCCAAAAACAAGAACGTATGAGACATTATTTTTTAAAAATATGAAATCTTGTTATATATATTCAAGCAAAAACTACAAAAAATTGTTAAATTTGTAATAATTAAGGATTTTCTGTGAGTCATGTTCTTTACTGGTATTTTGTGTGCTTATTAATAAATGCATAAGAGTCTACACATTGCGTGTCTTGTTTTAATAAATGATATATGTATATATGTTTGACCATAATTATGAAAATGATTTAATTTAAATCATGTATTTCTTGTTTCAAGATATTTAAAGGATTACATATGCAAAATAAATTTAATTACATTGAAATAATTAGTTTAAAATAATATAATTTGAGATAATTAATAAAATCATTTTTTTTCATTTTGATTTATACCATTTTCATAATTATGGATACATATATATACCTCCATATTTCTAAAATCATTTAGAAAGAGAGAGTAAGATAAAAATCATTTCTGACTAAAATAATAAAATAATGAAATATATAAATAATAAAATAATAATATAAACTCACGGAGTTAATTAAGTTGGTCACTTTGCAAAGATCTTATATTTAGTTACATCTTTTTTAATCTTCACTTTGATCCATTTCTTTATCGTATTGCTTATTTCCACTTAAATTATAAATTTCGTCTACAATTTCAGAAGCAAACTTAGAATTAAATAAATTTAAACTTGGACTATTTTTATTGTCGCAAATTGCTTCCGATTTCTTCTGTTGATAAGCTTTGCTAAATTTATTTATTTTTTCAAATATCAAATCTTTTTCAATCACATCTGTAATAGCTGATGAAACTGAATAATTATTGTGATAAAAGTCTTTCTTTTTAAAGCTTTTTTCAAAGCTGATCTATAAATAAGTACATAACTTAGATTTATCAAATCTGATTTTTTTTAAACCGTAATCATGTATGTGTATATATACCTCTTGTTCAAAAAGACAATGTATAAAAGCATTATTGACGATAAGTTTGCTTAATATGTAATTGGCATCATGATGTTCTCCCTCCCTAATTTCATTGTGCAATTCTAAGATCATTTGCCATTCTTTTTGCGTAACTCTAATTTTAAATTGACAACATGGCATTTTAAAATATATTCCATACATGAGATATAATCCACAAATGCGATCTTTGAATGTACCAACAAACAAATATTGTTTAACTAAATGTAATGTCTCCTCACAAAACTCCATTAATTCAACCATACGTTCTTTTCCTCTATGAAAAGAATTAATAGATTAATTCAATATATATACTCTTGTTAACGTACCAAATATATATTACAATATGTGATATATCTAATACATTAAATTACAAAAAGTTCATTTGAACTTACTTAAATATTAAACTAAATTTGGAATCTTTCCAAATATCACAAAAACTTTTAAATCTTATATCGCTTACTTTATTGAAACGTTCTATTAATGTTGTACAATCTTCTTCAAAACCACTGGTTATATTAAAAGGTTGGTTCATAGTTCTATTTTATTTAATTTAATTATAAAATTTCACACAAATTGTTTTTTATAAAAGATCACAAAAATGATAAAATTATAAATACTGAATAATAAAATCACGGAGTTAGAGAATATCTTTATCTTCGTCAGTGATCCTAGAAGCTTATGCTTGCTGATCGACACAGTGCCGTAAAATTATCGGGTTCTCAGTAAAATTATCGTACATACAGAAAAAAAAGTTTTGACTACGTTAACAAAGATTTTCTTCGCCGGATTTTCAGATTTTTTGTAATGTAATTTTTATGCAAAAGTGCAAAAAAGTACGAAAAAGTATATTTTCGCGACTGGACTTGATGACTTGATTTTTTTTTTTTTAGCTTGTCTATGCGATTGTGGGGTATGGCCAGTGATCCCAGAGACTTTAGCTTGTCTGATCGACACAGGGCCGTAAAATTATCGTACACACAGAAAAATTATCGTACGCACAGGCAAAAATTTGGAATTTTAGGAATTTTCGATTTGACACTCCTGATATTCTTAACATTAGTTTTTAGATTTAGAAATTGTATAACTTTTTGATTTTCAAATCTGCAAAAAGAGTAAAAGTACCAACTTTTTCAAACTTGATAACCGTGTACGGTAGGGTGCGCTACAACCGACAACCAAATCGCGAAACAAAATCAAAATCAAGACTTATCGAAATTTCGAGTTATCGTTAATTACATACAAGCTGAATTTTGGATCGTACAAGTTAAATTTTGGATCGTACAATGCTTCAAATTATGTGACGCGTACGATAATTATTGTACGAATGGGATCACTGACATTATACTAAAAACTTTTCCAACTACATAAATAAAACCGTGTACCGTACAGGGCAATAGGGGGCGCTGAGCGAGCACTGCGCTCCACAATCGAACAAAAACAAAAATCAAGATATATCGAAAATTATATTTACATATAGAATTATCGTAAAAATTATCGTACAAGTTGAATTTACGATCGTACAATGCTTCAAATTATGTGACGTGTACGATAATTATCGTACGAATGGGATCACTGATTATTCTTCGTGAATCTAGTCTCCATGTTCGTGAATAAAACGAAACCGGTGAGACAAGGACAATATTGTCTCAAAAGATAAGCTAACTTGTTATACGTTTTTTATCGAAGCAAACGCCATCTGCTACATTTTATATAAAATAAAATTTAAGCGCAACATTTAAATTCTTTTGAATAATACGTTATAATTTGTGACATATTTAATTTTTTAACTGTGTCAATACTCGCACCGTTTTCTCGATTAGGATTATTTAATAATATAAAACTTAAAGAATATGTTTATTATTATGACTTGATTCATCGTAAATTCGATTTTGTAATAGCGCTACTTATTGAGGTCTTTCTTCGATCAAGTTAATGTCATAAAGAAGAACGTATGGTTGGTCTGGTGTACTGTTTAAAAAGAATTAAATGAAAGAAAATGTTTGATTAGTCTTTGTGCATCTAAAATACAATTATTTATTATTGTATTATCCTATTTGCATACGTTTAAACAATGGCTTTGCGTGCATGCATTGGCAAACATTTGTTAAGTGGTTTATTTAATCGATTATATAAGGTTAGTCTTTTTAAAAAATATTCATTTTCTTATATATTAGAATAAAATATTATAATATGCATATATGTGCATTAGAAATGATTGTATTTTTCTCAATGACTATATTTAAAAATTGTTATATTTAGAATTGAAATTTTTTTTGTATTCATATTGATTGTTTTATTCTAACCGAACTATTAATTTTCATATATTGTATTCATTTTCAATGATTTTAACCTAACAATAAATGATTTTAATCATAGATACCAAAAGCCATTAATGGGGTACAGGTAGCACATATTAGTGGAAAACTTAATCGAATCCAACGTATTCGACCACCACCTTTTCCCTATCGAAAGAAAAAATATACATCCTTCCAATTATTAGAGCCCACTATAGAAAGATATGATGAAAACAGTAAAATTATTGTTGTCGAAGGGCCTATTGCTGCTGGAAAAGATAAATTTGCTAGAGAATTAGCAAAAGAGCTTGAGATGGGATATATGCCAGCTCCATCATTTGATTTAATATATAAAAATGCTTACGGTTTTGATTTAAGATCGTATAATTCGCAATTACCAAAAAGATTAAGATTTACCGATGAGAAAACCTTTTTAACTGATCCAAAACACCCTAATATGGGAGCATTTCAAATTACCTATTATTTATTAAAATTTAATGCTTATTTAGAATCATTGTTACATTTGTTATCAACTGGAGAAGGGGTAGTGCTTAATCGTTGTGCATATTCTGATTTTGTATTTATGGAAGCTATGTACAAATCGGGATATGTTAATCGTGAAAGTCGTCGTTGTTACAAAACGGTTGTAGAGTCAACTATTGGATGCTGTAAGAGACCTAGTTTGGTTATTTATTTGGACATTCCAGTCAATGTTGTTAAGGTAAATATATTATCATTTGTATATTTAAATAATTGATTTAACTTCTAATTTAATATTGGATATATTTATTAAATACAAATATGTATTATATTGATTTAAATTTACCTTAATATTATAAAGGAAAAAATACAGAAAAGAGCTTTACCTTATGAAGTAAATTCAGAAGTTTTAACAACAAAATATCTTACCGACATAGAAACTGCATATAAAGAATATTATTTACCAGAAATCTCTGATCATGCATATTTATTAATGTATGATTGGACAAATGGTGGTAATGTTGAAGATGTAATTGATGATATAGAAAAGATAGAATTCGATTCTGATATCAAAAATCCAGACAAAGAAAAAGATTGGACGTTTTTAAATCTAAGTGATTTGGAAGAGAAAAGACAGTTATATGATCATGTCAACAGACCTTATATCTTATCAGAATCTGCACGATACATGAATGAATTTCCCGAAATGCTTTATATAGGTGAAGATGCAGAAAGACTATATGATTTAATAAACTCGGTAAATATATAAAGTTAAATCTATCTAATAAATATTTATTTATAATGATTAAATTGTTTCTTTTTTTTATAGTCCCCTGGTAGTGAATATTCAGAAGGATATAATCCTAGTATGGGTGACAAAGTTTTATGGAAGACCAACTTTGAATGTGCTCCTTATATACCTGTTGTGATATCTAATAAGGATCTGTAAGCTGCTAAATAATTGTAAACATATAAATGAAAATAATTATTTTAAATTTCAGATGTACCTATGTTAATTTTTTGTAGTAGAAAACTGAATTAAATAGGTAGTGATGTATAAAATGAGCTTGAATATGAGCTTGAATATGAGCTTGAATATGAAAATAAATATCTATAAACTTATACCTTTTCTTTGCGTTTAAATAATGCTTGATTGCAATTATTATAAGTTTTATTTCAGTCAGAGAAAAAGGAGAGAGAAAGAAAGAGAGAGTCATTATAATTTATATATATTTACAAACACATAAATATATTTATGTATTTATATATCAAAATATGTATTGTAGAATTATATGATGTTATTAATACAATTCATTCTTATTACATTAACATATGTATGCATGCATACACACACGCATATAAAATAAACGAATTTCTTCATCTTTCTCTCTCTCTCTCTTTCTCTCTCTCTCTCTCTCTCTTCCTTCCTTTCTATCTTCTTTTATACATATATATTGCTCATAAAATTTCATTGAATATTTATAATAAAAATAAATCGTGCATTCACATATATACGAACAAAAAATTGTACCTTTAATTGTGCAGTAATATTTTTGATTACTATCATAATAATAACACACGAATTATTTTATCAGCAATAAATCTCATATGAAAAATATTAACACATTTGCATTATTCTATGCATATTTATACATGACGTACACATTCAAACATTTATAATTACTATAATATATAATATAGTATATTAATAATTTCGTTTTCTAATGAAAAACATTAATTTAAATTAGAATACATAAACAGGTACATATCAAATAGATTCTGTTCAAGAAGTGACCATATAATAATATTTATTTGTTATTCTATATGTTATTCCGGTTTTGTTAATCTCTCTGAAAGTTAATATTAAAAATTTTATATGTAAAATATACAATGTATCGCGGAATGTAATGATAAGTTTCAACTCAAATAAACACAATAAGGATAAATTATTTGATAAAGTTCTTAAAAGGCAAATGAACTCCATATAGCAAATACAGTGGACCGGTTTATACTAAAGAAATAAAAAAATAAAAATAAATAAATTCAGAAAATATACTTTAGTTATTTCATATCATTTAATACAACCGGCAGTGGTTTTTTCCTGTTTTTTTCTAATTTAAACTTCCGAAATTAAAATTTCATAATTTAAAGCGATTCTTCTTTTTTCCTTTTCCTTCTTCTTTTTAAAGGTGGAAAATGGCTAATTTAATAGCTATATTCAAGAAAATATAATCAATAAATATCATTAAAAGGAGTTTTTTTTATGGGGCTAAACTACAGCAAGAATTTGTTTTTCTTGCTGTTTTATAAAATGCTTTTGATTGAGCACTAAGTCCTTCTGATTTAGAAACTAGATCATCTAGCTTTTCACCTCTTTGGAGCACAGCCTCAAGTGTATTATGCTGAAAACAAAAAATTACGATAAATTAATAAAAGAAAAATAATATCTATATAATAGCAACATATTATTTTGCGCTTTGTCTCAGAAGATAGCATTTTAATATTTAATTTACTTACTAAGATAATTTTAGTTTCATCTAAATCATTTTGCATCTTTGTAAGTGAATCTGCTTCGTTAGGATTTTGATATTTTGCCAAATAAATATTAATTTGAGCAAAATCAGTAGTAACTTCTTTCAATGTTGGCCACGTCATAGGTGGATATTTAACAGAGAACTCATCTAAAACTTTAGTAATCAAGGTATGCGAAACTCTTCTAGGATATTCATGATCCGAAATAAGAACTCCTGCTAAGTTATCCGCACGAACATAAACATGGCACATATATTCTGTTGAAAAATCATTTCCATTAAGAATTCCACAAATTTAATAAATAAAGAATATAAGTCATTTAAAATGAAGACTTCAATTTATTACCTCCTTCTTTGACGCTCTGCCTGGCACTTATTTGAGTTCGTTCGACGATGGTCTTACTGACAAAACCCATAAATTCCTTTATACTACCTCTTTGAAAGAATGAAAATGATTCGACGTCATAAGCAGCCTTTAACGTGATGGCCGAGGTTGGATTTTTATATAAAATCGTCAATGCATATAACTTGACCATTTTAAACTGAAATATTTT